AATAATAATTATTATTAAAAAAAAAATAGGAAATATAAGTTTAAAAGTGATTACTAAGATTATTTTTGCAAACAGATTGAATTTGATTAATATTTAAAAAAATCAAAAAAAAAATTTCAAACGCAGCAATCTAAGGTGGAAAAAATCTTTAAACAATATCATTAATAAATATATCTTTTATATATGTTTTGTGATTGTGGGAGGTGCTCAAGCAATATTAAAAGGATTGACTTTAATTTTATTTGATATTTTTGTATATTATAGAATTTTGTTTAAAATGCGCAATGAATATAGATATAAAGCTGCACCTACTATATGCATTTGCATTAAATAATTAAAAAATAAAACTCTGACTTACCTTATAAAAAATTAATATGAATCAAAAAAATAAACCACTATGTTTTAGTGGCATATTAAATAATATCAACTAATATAAACTAAACAAACATTTTAACAATTAAATTGTAGCAGATATCTTTTAACACATTGAATTCAGAGAAATGTGCTACTTATTCCAATACCCCCTGATGTAAGTACAGTCAAATTCCCTTGATTCTTATTCACCATATTATTTAATATTTAATATATAATAATACGTATATACTTGTATTTATGTTAGAACGTTTCCCGTGAACAAAAAATTATTAAAAAAAATAAATTTTTTTCCTCTCCTTCTCCAGCAATAATGTAGGTGTATAATAACATTATGAAGTTCAAAGCTTTACATAAAAATATTTCATTTGCATATTTATAGGAGCGGAAAACAATTAAATCAATTTGTAAAATTAATTTACATAATTTTTTCTATTTTTAAATACGTATATAGACGAATATAAATATTAGTGACAGATACTATATATCTAATATTTAAACATTTATTTTAACAGACATTTTCTGATCTAAGTAAATCATGGAGGTAAGACAATGAGTTATGATTACATATATAAATTAATAGAAATGTATTGAATGATTATTATTTTTATGTGCATATAAATTTCTTTCTACATATTAACTATGTTATATGTTTATATGTCATCATATAAAAATATTATATCAAAATATTAATATCAAAATCATATACATATACTAAAATGTATTTACTTTAATAGTAACTTGTAAAAAATAAAATATAAATTAGTAAATTAAATTTTATTTCGACACATAATAAAGTATTAAAATTTAATTTACTAATTTATATATTATTTTTGACCAGTTACTATTAAAGTATGCTCTATTTTAAACTGACCATAATTAAGCCCTCGATTATTTAACAAATAATTTGAATTTACCGAATAGATAATAATTAAACTGTATATAAACCGTATATAATATTATATGTACTGTATTGAGGTATTGTAATAAGTAGCCTGAAAAAAGTTAGAAATATATATATCATACGAAACCTTGTCTATATCCTGTGTATATTGTTAATTTAGTTCTAACTTTTTATTTATTATATATTGTATTATTTAAAGAAAAAATAGAAAAGTCAATCCATTGTAAGTAACTGAAAAGTAAATAGTTGTAAAAAATTTATTTTAGATTTCAAATGAAAGTAAAAAAGTAGATTAATAAATAAATAAATTTGCCAATTGCGAGTGTTTTGTTTTTGTATAAAAATTTTGTTTATTATGAAAATATAAAATGCTTAATTTCAAAAATATATTTAAATAACAATTTCACAAAATAATAATTTTTCGTACTACATTATGCTTCTAATATAAAATATAATAAATAAATAATTAATTAGTAACATTAATTTTGATCATTGATCGATCGTTCATACAAATTAAAAAAAAAATATTTTAAATACTAAAATACTAATATAAAAACAATTATTAAAATAATAATCCAGAAGTATAGTAGTTTTTTAAAATAATCATATTTAAACAATTGTTTATAAATACATTTTCAAAGTCAAAATTGAAATTGTTTTACTTAAAAAAAATGCAAATTAATTTTTTAATTACTTATATATAACACACAAAAAATTTATAAAATTGCCAATTCAAATTTTTAAAATTATTTTTAATTTTTTGTAATACATTTTCTACTTATTAAATAAATAAAATCGAATTTCATTTACTTAACTATTGTATATATATTTTTTTTTTAATATTTAACAACAAAACTTAAAATTGCTATTTAATTTCTTCAAACATAACCTGCTTTCCTTAGCATTTTTAGTGTTTATTAAATAATTATACATATATGTATATAATACATAGTTATTTTTTTCTCATTAATTTGCTTGTTTGTTTATTTATTATATATGTTTCATTCTTTGTTTTTAATTTTTATTATATATCACGTTCAAGTACTTACTAGGTCATATGATATCAGCTACGTTTTTCGAGCAAAAAGCTGAATGATATGAAATTAATTAATCTTTTAAAAATTCTCTTTTTAAATATATTTTGATATATTACTATTAAAGTAATAATTCATATTTAATATGAGTATTTTTTAGAATATTCACTAAACCTAATTAAATCTGCTTAGAATAATTTTAATATATATGAAAAATAAATTAATATTAATATAAAATTGGCTAACAAAATGTAAGCATATTTTTTCATAAGAATTTTTTAAAATAATTAAATTGATATAGGAATAATTGTTTATATTTAAGGACAAAACAGAAAAAGAAGAAAAGGTAGTGAAACTTTCTGATTGATCTTTCTGATCTATCTATGCTCCGAATAAATTCAAAAAAATAAAGTTAATAAATATTATTATAAAATCGGCAGTCATAAAGTTGAAGCTGAGGTCTTAGTTATACGGATATATACTCTTATATTCCTAAAGAGCAGGTCATGGAATTTAACTTCCTTGGAGCTAAAATAACATCATCAAAGGTCCTAAGCGCTGAAGCTACCGCCTAAACAAACACAGCGGCTCGCGTAGCAGCTTGTCTTAGAGATACTATATGGTGCAACAAATATCTAAGGTTAAGAGGAAAAGTCCGAATATATAAAACGTGCTTTAGACTTATATCAACGTATGCCATTGATAGAAGGCGATATGAAAGCCACCGAAAATGCTATATTCAAAACTGAAATGCACACTCTGCGCTCGATAGCTGACTTCACTCATCGGAACCAAATGCGCAATGACGACATTAGGTGAATCTGCGAGGTACCGGACATAATTAAATGAAGTAGACGAAGACGAAAGGAATAGAATCTGCATCTTTAAAGAATGGAAAATCATGGTATTGTAATTGTAATGATAGAAAAACCAACAGTCGCGAGAATACCCGGTCCACCGCCGAAAAAATGGCGTGAATGCTGGAAGTCTGACTCTACAAAAACATAATAATTTGATATGTCATCATTTTACATAAATATATCCAATTTAATTGTTGTAACAAAACAGGATTTATTCCTATTATAAAGTAGAAGAAGTAAACGTAGCGGTCGACTTTCTAAGTTAACAGTCAATCAGTTTCGGATCTAAGTTTAAAGTTTTAAAAATTAAGTTATTTTACAATGGGCTTCTTGTGATAAACATGATCCTAATAGAATCCCTAAAACATTTAATGCTAGTATTTTTAAAAGTAACTAAAGTTTTGAAAATTTTAACTCTGATTTTAAAAAATATGAATAATGATATTCTCTTTCATTGTAGGTCAGTAAATATTTTTTAATATAGAAGTTCATAAGTTCATTTAAAAGGAACTTCACTTACTTACTTATATATTTACTTACTGTAGTCCTCTTCTCTTTGTGGAACAGAAGGCCTCTATATGTAGAGAGACTCTAACCTGCCTATATCAATTCATTGTGTCTGGTTCTTTATGCTTTATTAAAAATGCATAGAAACATATAACAAAAGTATAAATTTAAATATAAGAAATCTGAGTCTTTAATTAGGGCTCAGAGCTTTATATGTTATAAGAAATAAAGCATTATTATATCTAGTTTAATATTAACAATATCTAAACCTTAACAGATTTGGAGTCACGATTATTATCAAAAATTTCTTTCGAAAGTACTATAGACATTTTTTTGCTACTGGATATTTGGAGTTTCTTTGTAATCTGAAGTAAGTATATTTACTATATACTACCATGACTTACTATATGTCAACATTATTCATTATTACTCCTTAGAACAAGGGTGAGCATGATTTCTTCTTTGTTATTTTAATAGTCTGCATTCACTGCGTTATCAAAGGAACTTGTTCTATGTAATAGTCTAAATAATATACCAATTATATAAAAATGATTAAATCGTAAATATTTAATAGAAGTATTAATGTTTAATGAGTAAAAATTTAATTATAAATTTTTAAAAAATTCTTATGTTAAGTTTAACTTTCATTAGCGGATGCGCCTATTGTTTATGTATATGTATAAATATTTGTACATATATATACGTGTATGTAGATTCAATATAATATTGAATGTCGAATTTCATATACATATATATATGTATTTAATAAGAAAAATAGTAAACAAAGATCTCAAAGTATTAGTTCATTGATATATGTATTATCTAATAATAATGAAATCAATATATTCTTAAATAATTGAAGTTAACTTCTATACTAATTTATATGTAAGTAATGTTCTATTTTACTTTTTATTATTTTGTTCGACAAATAAACATATTTTTATTATTATTTTACAATTTTTTGCGGTATTTAACAAAAATATGCACGCACATGCCCAAGAACAACATGCATTTAAATTAAAAACTATTTTAGTAAAATTAAAAATAGGAGAGTTAAAGTTGAACTAAATTTAAACTGCGAAAACCCACACTATACATAATAGTATAGAATATGATATTAAGTCACTATTTCACATTCCATCGATATAAATCGATATTGAGCAGTTCAAAATTAGTTTTTTATTTAAAGCTTTCTACTTCTTTCTATGGAAGTTTTTAAAGTTTTGCAGTTTACTTTGTATTATATTTAAATTCAACAAAAATACAAAAAATAAATATTTAAAACTACATAACAAAATTATTTACTAAAAGGTGTAACAACTACTTAGTATATATACATATATAGTATACTTAGGAAAAAGAATGTGTTCAATTAGTCTAATAAATGTTTTTTTTTTTGCTAAATGTACGTACTACTCTAAAAATAATAACAATTGAGTCTAGTTTAAGTTAGTAGGGTAGAGGAAAGTATTTTTTTTTTAAATATAATTCTATATAATTGTTGTCTTTTTATTGTATATATTCATAATATCTTCGATAAAAAAGAGCCTCCTCTCTATCTGTGTATAACAATTTGTGATGATGATGAGCGAGATGGTAATGAAGATGTTAGTAAGAGTTGTTCAGGTTGTTTCAGTTGCAGTTGCATACGATTTTTGAACTGATTTAGTATAAGGATTAGCAATGATATAGAAATTATGAAATGGTAACTATTTGGTAATAAATTTTTACTAGAATTGCACATATCTTCCTCACAAAAGCACATATGTCCATTGCCTGAACTTTCCATCATGCACACATGATCGACCATAAATAAATTTATTTGTAATTGCGAAGTACACATACGACGTACAACTTCATACGCTGAAAAGAAATTTAAATTATATTATTTATATTAATATGTATTTTAAAAAATAAAAATAAAAATAAATTTTTATAATTAAATTATGAATAGAAAAAATAAAAAAAATAAAAAAAGAGAAATATTAGATTCGGCTTTACCAAATCATTGAAGTCCCATTTATATGATAATATATAAAATATAACATATAATAATTATAAATAATATAATATCTTATGTTAGTGAAAAGAGCTGCTTTAAACTTTTTTCTCATACTTATAATCCGTTAAATATTAAAATTAAAGGATCTGTTGGTATGGATGGCAGTACATATAATGTAGGATATGAATAAGATGAATATAAACTAATAGTTCGTAAGACAACTATATCCAAAACTGATCCGAATGATATCGTTTTTACTATTACTAATATTAATATTAATCGGAACATCTAAGTAATCTGGGCATTTGAATTTAGAAAGATTGCTTCAAAACCTCACTCGGAACATCTAAGTAATCGGCGCATATTGTTAACATCATACAAATTGTTACTGAGTTCTTTCTGTGCTAAAATTTTTAATAAAAGATGGAAAGACTCAACGATATCCAGGCATCAGTATGCATAATGATCACTTTCCACTAAAAGGAAATTCAATAGCCTCATAGGATATGAGATTATTCCGTAAAAATATCAGTCTTATGGTAGGTTTACTTACAGGTCATTGCAGACTAAGGAACCATGCTAGAAGATTGAATCTCCTTTTCAATCATACCTGTCGCAGACGATGAAAATGTCTATCATCTACTCTGTCTTTGCCCGGGTCATGCACGTCGCCGGCTCAACACTTTAGCAGCCCCCTTTCTTGAGGATCTTGATCCTCCCACGAAACAGCGTTCTAAGCTTTGCCAAAGGTGATTTCAAACCCTGAGTTTCCTCTATATACGCTAACACAATGGGTATAATATAACCTAACCTATATTAGGTTAATCTAATATTAATAAATAAACATATATTGGTTTATATGCGAGCTATATAATAATAAAAATTATTATTAAATTATTATTATGTTTTTAAAATTAAATCCCATTGTTAAAAACTTAACAATACCATCAGCAAAAGTAGACGATTTTTCTTACAAATTACTTATACTAAGCTATACTTAATATAGGTATTATAGTACTTATAAGTTTAGTTGAAAATCTATACAACTTATTTAAAAAAAAAGCTCATAACATATATATTTGAATCTCATGCCGATAGATATGTGGCATTAGGCCATATTTTTAGAAAAAATATATATAAAGGGATGTGAATGTTAATAGCTCCCAGCAGAAACGTGACATAGGAATATTGAAGAAAGTTTTCAATAACAACATTATCTCTAGAAATAGAGATCTCCAGATATGAGTCTAATCGGATTATTTCTTATAAAGATATTTGAAGTTGTCTAAGCCAACAATGGCTACAATTTCGGAAACCAACAAAAATTACTCTATTTGTAAGACGGTGTTAAATAAACAATAAAATAATCGAAAGTGGCAACTCCTGGTTCCAATTTCTGGACATAAAAATTATTTATCGAATCAAAAAATAATTGCTTAATTCAAATAATTTGTAGACAGCCATATAGCTAGGGGCACCTTGTGGGACTGAAGCTCTCTAAAATGAATCGAATGATTATATTTATAGGTATGTATATTATAAAAGTATATTATTATTTTTTGTAAGTTGTTGAAATTATATGAAAGCCCTCTCTGAAGTAAATTTCTGCTTATGGGTGTTTTATTATAATCTATATCTTTCAGCTTCTAAATAATAGTAAAAAATAAATCTCAATACTTTTTAATGATTTGTTTCAAGATAAGTTTAGCAAAATTTTAATAGATCGATCGACGTTGTTGTATGAAAAATTTTTAAAGTTTCTATACTGTTTCTATATACTACTAATAAACTAATAAACGAATATAGCAGAAACATATAAAAAATTTTAGAGAGTCTCGCATTTATTTTTATATTGTCGCGTATTATTTTTTTGGGATATAATATAAGGTATAATTATATAAACATAATAAATATATACTTATAATAGTTTTTAGGACTACCTATGAATGTATATATAACAATATATAACAATATATATAAGGTATAATTATATAAACATAATAAATATATACTTATATTAGTTTTTAGGACTACATATGAATGTATATATAACAATATATAGTTGTTCATATTGGAAGTATGGTAATTTGAAATTCTTAATACTTACGTGATTTAGAGTGTCGCACCATTTTTACACAACAACCATTGCATGTCATTAATGGCGGTTGATCCTTCGGTAAAGCGGTATAATTAAAAGGATCTTTACATCTTGCATCCGTCCATGAGTCACATTCATAGCAATAAATTGAACGTGCTGGTAATGGTAAATAAAATTTGAAATATTATTTTGAAATTAAATATATATATTTTTTAATTTAATAAATGTTTAAATTAAATTATCTAAATAAGAACAAAATTACTAAATCCATTAAATATAATAATTAATTTAATTATACAAGCATACATTACATACAGAAATGTAAAGAACTTCAGTGCAAATTTAAAAAAAATGCAAGCTAATGAAATATATACATATTAATTAACACAGATAAAGCATATATATGTATTTAATTAAATAATATAATATTTACATCTTAATTTTGTATAAAGTGCTCTAAACATCTACCAAATATTTGTTATCTAAAATGTGCAAATTTTTTTTTTATTGTGAAAATTATAGCATTTAAAACCTTCATTAATTATTTTAAATTAATTAATGTATTAGATTATACTTTTTTTTTATACTAATGAATGTCAATGTTAATACTTTATGTATATATAGGGATCTTATAAGATAATACTATGTATAATCTATTATTATCTTCATAATAATATATGAAAATAGGTTGATTACAAATTTCTTTATGTTCATTTCATGTGTATAAGAATTAATGAATCTCTTTGGTTATGAACTGTTATCATTCATTACTTAGATTAACTATTACAAATGTGGATCAATCTAATCTAAAATGATTGCATTGTGGTCTACTGAGGGTTTTCATTGTAATCAAAATGTTAGTACATATTTGTAAACTAATAATGAAGGGCTATGATTGTATGTTAGTGAGGACTGAATAATGTAACCTTTTATATAGTTGATATTGTATAAAATTTTTCATTAATCACTTGTATGTGACTTAGGTAAGTAGAAATATTATAATAGTATTATATTTTTATACTATTTATACAGTCTGCCTTTCCTATTGGTACTGAGTATATTTCTTTCATAATATATATGAAGGATTCTCCAACAAGCATTCATTTTCTAAAGTATTTCATTATATTAATGTAGTTTTAAAGACGTTATAAAGATGTAAATATTATTAATAAATTCATTTAAGAAATAATATATATAATATCATTATATTTATATGTCATTGGTGGAATACCACACCAAGATAATGCAAGACCCCATACAAATTTGGTAGCTTTCAAAACCGTTTACAGCTTGGATGAAATGTATTGCTATAACTTTAATATTCCTTAGATCTGGCTCCTTCCTATTGTTATTTATTTCGGTTACCACAAAATTTTCACATGACAGGAACTTTACTTTGATAGAGATTTTGAACAGTTCTTTATCAGCAAAGAACGTATAATCATGCTTATGCCGGAAAGATGGTAAAGTATACTAAACCAGAATGGACAATTGGGATCATAGGATAGGTTATACCGGCGGTACCCAGGGGATCCAATTAGACCTATTGGTCTAACTAGAAATTGAAACCATTTAGAACCTTAGGCAAAACTCAAAATGCTGTTTAGTGGCAGATTTTATAATTATTCAAAATTCTCAAGAAAGGGGCCTCCTAAAGTATTGATTCGCCGCCGTGAATGACCTGGGCAAAGAGAGAGCAGATGGGAGGCACTCTCATCGTCTTTCCCACAGTTGCGACAGGTATGATTGAAGAAAGATTCAAACTTGTAGCACGGTTGCCTAGTTTGCAGTGATCAGTAAATGGGATCATAACTTTATATAAAAATTGGAAAGCCATTACAATGGGTCAATCAAACCGTACTAGGTTTCACTTCTTTACCCAAAACTAATCTTGCGTGGTGAGTAATATATATACTGTTCAGTATATTTTCTACTTATTCTATTTTTATTTTTATAATTTTTTTATTTTTATAAAAAATAAAATTACTTTTTAAACCACTTTATTTTTTTAGAATTTTAGATTCGGTAGTGAATTCATATTATAATAAAGAAAAGTATCTAAAATTTAGACTTTTTATTTATTGCTTTTTATTTATTAAAAGTTTATTAAAAAACTTATTATTTATTATTCAAATATATACATACGCAATTTAAAAATAAAAACCAATTAAAAAAATTAAATTGAAGTGGTTTAATATGTAAAAATTATTCCTTGGGTATTGTACAACATTTTTTATTAACAATACTTTATTATATTAATATTCAAATATTTTATATATTACTTCATGTTTTTTTTAAATTTTATGTTGAATGCTTTTAATGGAAAATTCTTCGCCTGTACCTTTTATTTTCATGGAAAAAAGGAGTAGTGCACTGCGACCCAAAAGAACTATTGTGTTCCTTAGAGTGATTAGAGTATTACAGTGTATAGAGCCTATCTTTCTTGGTTTTAGATCCTTATGATCCATTAGAGTGGATTAGAGTGTTAGAGTTTTAGAGTGTATAGAGCCTATCTCTCCTAGTTTTAAGTCCTTATGATCCATGAAATACACTCCTAGGTGTTTCTTCTGCTTGTACATTAGTGCCGGGCACTACCAAAGCAGATGGAATGCAGTTTCTCTCTCTTCTCTACAGTATCTACAGTCTGAATTTGATTGCATTCCTAACTTCGATATATTCGCCTGTAGGTAATGTGGTAAGATTGTGTTAATTTTTCTTCATCAAGATATATAAGTGTAAATGCTAGAGCTTACCACCTATTTTTTTATGTAATTAATATAGAATAACTCATGAAAATACTTAATTAATTGTTGTTAATAAATAATATAAAATATGAAATAAATCATAAGAGAAAAATATTATAAGAAAATTATTCATGATTCAAAAACTTTATGCAAAAAAAGTATCTCAGTTTAATTAATATAATTATAAAATAAAAAATTATTTAAGCTAACAAATACTTCTTATATATACAATAAATAATATACAATTAATATGCTTTAATGAAATTTACAATGAAAATTCTAATTATAAAACAGTGTCATTTGCATTTGATAAGAAGTGCACTTTCAATCACTCAAACGTGCAGTGATAAATCTCATACACAATTTCAGTACTAAATGTGCAACTAAGGTTTTATTAGACATATCACGAAATATTATTATTTGTTATATATATACAATATATGGTATTTTATATAAATAGCATAACACTGCTTTTAACATTTATTATCTATTGTTTGTTTGGCCACCTTCGATGTCTCAAGGCACATTATAGTCATTACTTAAGCGTTTTCTCTAAGTGGTGATATGGATTTTGCTATTACACATTTTTACATCGACATTCCACATTTTCGTACCACACAAAATAAATCCGAATCGTTAAAAAAATATAAATTTATTATAATATATATTTTTTTATATATTTATATATTTTTTCATTATTTAAGTCCCAAAAATGTTTACAAATTTTACACATTTAGAGTAAAATTAGAGAAAATAAGTTCTTATTACGATTATATATATTAATATGCACAATTTCTCTATCAAACTCAAAACAGCTGCACAAAGAAGTGTAAAAGGTAAGTTTGTCCTTTTTCCATATTCAAAATGTTTAAGGATATTTAGGATATTTGCCAAGAATTGTGTAGGTGTTCTGGATGATGCTTTTGTGTTAAGCGCTTAATTGAAAACAAATAAAAAATATATAACACAGCAAAATAAAACTTTTAAAAAGGTTGCAATTCTTCTTCCAACATTTTTATATAAAATTTATAAGTTCTCTCTAAGTTTTCAGTATTAAAACTCGTTTAACGTAATTTAATAAAAAGGATGTCTCATATTTTTCCGACTCAAAATATTTAATTTTAATTTTTTAAAGACCCAATTAAAGATTTCTACGGACATTATAGAGTAAATAATTTTTTCATTACCTTGTGATCTTAACTTTACTCGAAAATTGAAAAGGCATACAATGGATCAATCAAAGCTTACTAGGTTTTACTTCTTTACTTAAAACTACTCTTGCATGGTGTGTAATATATACTACATATAGTTATAAAGTGTGTCACAGAACAGATAATGGTAAATATATATACTATAAAGAGGTTTTTTCAAAAAGAACTGAACTACAACAACAAAAATTCATTCTTATATTATTTTAATTAATTGAATTTTTGGCTGACTATACATGTCAACTGTTTCGAGTATTACCAAATACCCATCATCAGTGGTCTTGGAATTATTTTTTATATTTATGTTAACTATTAGTAAATAATTTTTTGAGACTGCAAGTACCAGTAATCGAACTCGTGTCCTGCCAAATTTGAAGCTCAAAGTCAACGCAGCTTATACACTATATGTAAAAGAGTTTTTTTTTAACTCAGATCGTTTATTCATAAACAAAATTTATCACAAATTTTATAAAAATCGGTATACGAATATCTTTCAAATTTTTTCCCTTTAACAAAAAAGTACTGAATATAACTTACTAAGTATTGAGTATATGTTTACTACAATAATGTACTCATGAAAATGAAGTAATAGTCAAGTGGATTAAACGCCATATCGGTATTAAGCAAAACGAAGAGGCAGATAAATTTGCAAAGCAAGGATCAAGCCATAACTTGTGTGGCCCAGAGCCCAGAATACTATTGGGCTACAACATGACTGCAGCCTATGTTGATAAGTGGATAATTCATCTTAATAGATGGAGAGAGATGAGCACTTGTAGACAGACTAAACTCATGATGCCAAAACCGTTGGCCAGGGGATCGATAAAAGTACTTAGCTATTCACGGAGCACCCTAAGCTGGCTGACCTCATTGTTTATGGGACATGGAAACTTCAAATATCACCTCAAAAACTTCTAATTTTTTGTTCTTTTAAAATTAAAAAAAGAGTGTTGAATTTTTCGATAAGAAATTTTAAAATGTTTTTAAATACAATGAAAAATTTCAATGGGCTAGGTAAGTCACACATAAATCTATTAATCCCTAGTGATATCAAATTCAGCTAAACCTTTCTTTAGCTTTTTTACGAAACGAAAAAGTGTTTTACGCTTCATTCCTGAAACGGAGCCACCAAGCATTTTTAAGTATTCTTTTTAAGCGTCTTTTTGAGACCAAACTTAAATCGGGAATTGAACTCAGATTCTTCGTGCCTAGTGATATCAAATGCAGCTAAACCTTGCTTTCTAAAAGTGCTTTCCGCATCATTCCTGAAACGGAGCCACCAAGCATTTTTTAAGTGTTCTTTTTATGCGTCTTTTTAGACCAGACTTAAATCGGGACTTGAACTCAGACTTTTCGTGCCTAGTGATATTAAATACAGCTAAACCTTTCTTTCTTAAAAGTGTTTCACGTTTCATTCCTGAAACGAAGCTACCAAGCATTTTTAAGTGTTCTTTTTAAGCGTCTTTTTAGACCAGACTTAAGTCGGGACTTGAACTCAGACTCTTCGTGCCTAGTGATATCAAATGCAACTAAACCTTGCTTTCTAAAAAGTACTTCACGCTTCATTCCTGAAACGGAGCCACCAAGCATTTTTAAGTGTTCTTTTTATGTGCCTTTTTAGACCAGACTTAAGACGGGACTTGAACTCAGTCTTCTCGTGTCTTAGAAAATTTTTTAGAAAATTGCAACCTTTTTATTTGTATTTTGTGTATACATTGTTTAAAGGATACACTTGCAAACTGAAGCTGTTCTTAATATTTTTTAGTAGATTTCTTTTTAAAGATAAAAACAACAAATCTTAAAAAAAATATTTAAAATAAAATTTGATTAAAACATTTAGTAAAAATATTGTTTAATATTTTTATAGTGTGTTGGTTAATTGTTTTTTTTTGCATATAATTTAAACACAAATAATAAAATTTTTGGAAAATATTTAAAATATGATTTCATAAAAAAATATTTGGCATATTGAAAATAAAGCATGGATTCATACTTTGACATTCGGCTGAGACTTGAGGAATCCATACGAAAAATAGTAATCCAAATGCCGCTGTAAAAGAAAAAAGTAAGAAGAACAGACAATGGAATGTGGTGGAATAAAATATATATAGATTTATTTTTCGATTTACATTTTTTTGTATATAAAAAAAAACATGAAAGATTTATTTACAAAAGTTTGAAAAGGTACTATTTTACAAAGTTTATATTTTCGCAGATAACTAGAAGGACTACCAGGTAGAATTTTTTTTTAATTAACTGCCAACTGGTTTTCATATTAGAAGGGTCATATCTAATCCTCTTTCTTTGAGCGCTATCTATAAGATAACATGCTTTTGCAATAACTTTGTTGGTATTATTATTTTTTTTGTTTTTTTTTTTTGTATTATAAAATATCTATTTATTATAATAAAAATAAAGACTGTTACAGCACAATTTTTAATTTTCACGAGACGTTTACAACGACTTATAAATATTTATATATGGTTTACACTACATACTTAACAATATACAAAACGTATCTAAAATATACAATTTTTATTCAATCCGAGAATGTCGATTGCAATATTAAATATCTTAGCCATTACAGGAAAGATGTGATGCTGTGACAAGTGATAAGTAGGTAGGAAGTAAGTAAGAACATTTTTACAAAGTATATATGAAAGATGTTTCGGATGTGAAGGCAGAAAGTTACGTATACGCAATGGACAAGTGATTTTGATACTCTTTAAATGTGTTTATTAGTTTTGCAATTGTACAGATGAGATAGTAGATAGATTGCAACTAATTTAGTTTAGTAAGTGAATTTGTTAGTTATTTTTTTCTTTAATCTTAAATGATTTTATGAAAAATATAGCTTTTAAAGGTAAAACGCAGTAGTATTTAATATTTTTCAACGTGAAACTTAAGAACAAACCAAAAAAATGAAATCATCTAATTATTTTGTACATTAGTAAGTGTTTTAATTTTAAATCAATCGAAATTAAAGTGTTAATTATTTTATGAATAGTTTGGTCTAATTTATTGCAATTTAAATTTTGTAAGACTTACATGGAAAGCAATTGTCTGCCGTTGAAAATTTTATGTTTACCAATATAACTTTTTGTGTATCAAATTTGTATTTCAATTGCGAATAGTGAAACATAAAAATAAAAACAAATTAATATAAATAAATTCAACACAGAAAAAAATGTTGAAAAAAATTAAATATTATTTATTTAAAATAATTTTCTTCATAAATAGGTATAAATGTTTTAAACAGGAATTTTGTAAAAAATTTGGAATATGAGAATAAAAACAGCACTGTAGTAAATTTATTTTATTAATTTTATAAAAAAAATATATTACATATATATATATATGATTATATTGCTATGATTATGATTATGTTTATAATAATTGGAAATAAAAGTTAAAAATAATATAAGACATATACCAACAACTTATCGACGAATTAAATCAATTTCTTTCGTAGAAATTATGTTTTTTTATTATTAACATATTTCAATACTTGAAGTGTAAAAAATTGTTTATGGAATATTTCCCAACTGAATGCCATAAATGCAGAAGAAAACATAAATGAGGCAAGGAAGAAAGCGATTATTTCCCCTCGAAGAAGGGGTCCATTTCCATATCAACTGAGATACAAAATGTCTGAAGAACACGTTACCCGTAAAAACTCTTCAGTAAATTTACATGGGCTAATGAATAATGTCATTTAGTTAGGAAACAAGTTATTGTTTATTTCCCTTCAAAGAAGGGCTTCATATCCATATGAACCGAGGTATGAAATGTCAGAAGAACACGGTATCCATAAAAAATCTAAAGTAAAGTTACATGGACTAATGAATTACGTCATTTAGTTAGGAAACAAGTTATTGTTTATACCTTTCAAAAAAGGAGTCCATATTAACATCAACCGATATACAATATGTCAGAAGCATACGTTATCCGTAAAAATTCTTCAATAAATTAACATGGACTAATGAATTATGTCATTCAGTTAGAAAACAAGTTATTGTTTATTTCCTTTCAAAGAAGGGCTTCATATCCATATGAAAATCTTTAGTAAATTTACATTGACTAATGAATTATGTCATTTAGTTAGGAAACAAGTTATTGTTTATTTCCTTTCAAAGAAGGGGTCCATATCCACATCAACCGATATACAAATTTCAGAAGAACACGTTATCCGTAAAAATTCTTCAATAAATTTACATGGATTAATGAATTATGCCATTTAGTTAGGAAACAAGTTATTGTTTATTCCTTTCAAAGAAGGAGTCCATATCCACATCAACTGATATACAAATTTCAAAAGAACACGGTATCCATGAAAAATATTCAGGACTAATGAACTATGTCATTTAGTTAGGAAACAAGTTATTGTGAGAACTAATATAAATTTTACATTTATATAAATATTTTTCAATGATGTGAAGTATTAACGTATATAACGAATAATATATAAGCAGAAAAACATATATTAGTTGTACATGTTTATATAAATAGTTTAATTTAATCTATTTTGAACAGTGTCTTCAGAAGATTTTTAGCATTCTGTAATCCAATAAAAGGACCAGAGATATTTAATCAGAAACTATAATTATTGTTATTTAAAAAAGGGTAGTGCACTTTGACCTAAAAGACCTATTGAGCCCCTTAGTCGGATTAGGGTGTTTCTGCAAGTCCGATTTCTTTAATGAAAGACAGTATAGTGCCTATCTTTTCTAGTCTTAAGTTCTATAAACTATTGAAATATGAAATACCCTCCTAGGTGTTTCTTCTGCTTGTACTTTAGTGCCGGGTACTCCCCAAGCATATGGTATGCAGTTTCTGTCTCTTTTCTACAGTATCTGCAGTCTGCAGTTGGATGAGATTTCTAACTTTAATAGGTGATTACTCAATCTACAGTGACCGGTTAACCAGAAACTTAATTCAATTGAATTATATCAACAACAACAAAAAATGGAAAAGAATCTAAGTTCATATAGTTCTCATTGATTTTAGCCAAAGCTTGGCGATACGGATTAATTAATTGAAATATGCAGCTTACTTTCTATAATCCTGCTCTTTTGTTTATTTATTTATTTATACTATCGATATTAAAAAGTTGTTGAAATCCGGGGAAAAAAAATCATAACACATTTTCTCTGTGAATGCCCGGCTTTGACGCCCAGAAGAAATAGGTTCTTAGGCAGATACTTCTTTGATAGTTTATTAGACTGTTCATCGGTGAAGATGAAAGATCTATTAAATTATCTAAATTCGGCAGGATGGATTTAGTCTCTTATCGTCTATACTAGGGTACTTGTGATGAATGTGATAGCAAAATGGCGAAAAATCGGTAATTGAGGTACATGGAAATTATCTAATGGCCTGCCACTGCAACCAACTAACCATCGATATCAAAACCAACAATATTATTAGTAAAAGTGCATATATCGTTTCTAAAACGTAAACCTTTGATAGAAGGTATAATAATCTTCTAAGTATCTCCAACTTAACGAGAGCAATACAAGACAATGAATATTTGTCTATAAATATAAAGTTAAATATATATGTAAATATATACAATATTTATATATTTTTATGAGCAATTCATTGATATTTATTTAAAACTGGGTCGCGATCATGCCACAAAATGAAAATAATTAACATATAAATAAAAAAAATAAATTAGACAGAAAATAATTTTACAATCAAATTTCTTCTTATTGAAATATATATACTTTCAGCACCCTAAGTGAGATTTAAAAGCAGAACATCAAAAAATAATTATAAATATATCTCAAAAGTATTTTAGTTTTATTTTTAATTTTAATACATAATTTCCTTGAAATTGTGCAGATATTTTCGTATGTTTTTAACGAATTAAGGCGAAAATGTTGTCTAAAAATACTGATGAATGATGAATTTCCGTATGTCATCAATCCATATAATTGAAAATATGTTTAATATTAATTAATTTCAAAACACTGATTTAATTAAAAAATTATTAGCACACAAATAAACAGCACAAGTTCGATTGATAAAAGAAATTATTTTTCACGGTCCCACAGAACAGTATGATTCTGCTATATTTGGAATAAAAAAGACTGCTATGGTATATGCGGATTTAATATAGATTTGCTCTCGATAAATAGGATCATAAATTTGGTAAGTAAATATAATGTATAATGACTTATACAGAAGCTTTCAAAAGTTAAGTCAGCGAAAGTGATTGGTTTTGAATTGGTTTTAAGGAAGTGATATTTTAAAATAGGAGTCGTATTAGTATAAATCGTTCTCTATGAAGGATGAAAAAACATAGGAGTGATTGGAGGTGAGAAATAAAACTTTCAAAAATCAAAGTTGTTTCATATGTTAAGCTGAAATATTATATATTTTGATTTGATATTATACGTAGATATCTTAAGATCTGAAAAAATTTTGAAGCAATTGAGTGGGAATGTAGTAAAAATAAGATTATTTTTAACAAGATAATACTATGTGTCATAAATCCATGATAACAATGGTAAAATTATGCGAGTTGTATTTAAGATTAATACTTCACACGACCTTTTCTCCAGAAAACTATACTTCTTTAACTAAAGATTTGTTGTTGTTTTTATAATTATTTCATATAAGTTTGTACCTTTTACACAAAAAAAAAATGGTCGAATATTTTTAATAAACAATAGTTTATAATAGTTAATAATTTTTGAATAATAAGTAGAAAAAAAATTTTTTTTTAGAGAAAACATATTTTATCCGTGATAATTGACTTCAAAAATAAAAATTTAATTATCTAGTTTTATCATTTATATATATTTTTTATATATATTTAACTATTATATTGAATTTATTATAATATATATTTTATATGATATAAAAAGTACCGATAATTTTTTGTCACTAAATGATCTTATCACCTAGTTCAAGGCTGTTCAAAGCATGATCCACGGGCTACATGCGGCTCGCGGATAATATATGTGCGGCCCGAAACATGTTTGTAATCTACCACAATTACACAAATTTTCTCTTGATATATTTTCGTAAAATCACATATTTTATTTTAATGGTATTCTAAAAAAAATTAATGAATAATAAAAGCAAATTTAACATTAGTAAATTTATACATTATAATCCTATTCTTATTTTCTCCAAAAAACCATAGACGTATTTACTTGTTTCTACGGCCTTCCGATCTGTAGAGTGACTTGTATTGGCCCGCGATCGTATTGGTGTGAACAGCCCTGATCTAGATGATCTAATATCTTACAACACTAAACTGATATTTAATATAAGGTGGTGGTGTTACTTTGCATTTAAAGTAAAAGAAGACTGACTATTCAGAAATGATTCTGTGAAGCATAGTATATATGGCCTATGATATAAGATATTATATATTTTCCGAATATATAACATTTTTAGTATATAAGTTGTGTATTTAGGAAGTGTTTAAGGGATCTCTATTGAAATTAAGTGTAATTTTGCATTTCGAAATAAAATTTTATCAAGTATATACCCCTCTCTCCATTTTTGGCATAAATACGCCTAGCTGCGCCATTGAAGTAGATAGTATCTTTATCTACTAGATTTTGATTTTATTTAAATAGGTTTTTGATATTATTTAGATTATAAAACCGTGTAATAAAGCAGTTTCTTGTAATAAAGCTATTACATTATTTTGTTATCTAATCCAAAAGAAACTACGAAGGTAGGGTCTAAAACAAAATTTAAATATGAAAATAAAATAAAGAAAATTAGAATAAAAATAAAGATAAAGATAAAAATCGTTTGTGAGAATGATACACAAAATTTGTACGCTGATATGTTAATCTATTTTTATATATATTCTTTTGATGTGCGTTGATCTTGATTTGGACAGCTTAATTAGATGCTTCAAAATCAACAAGTCGGAATATTTACGGCATTTTTTCCTTCCTAGTTGAAGTGTATTTTTCGCAATGTAGAGCGAAAAAAAATTTCTTTTGTGAGTTATATTATTGTGTCATATATATTATTTAATGTTTTATAAAACAGCACCTTGAACTTTTTCAATTTTAAAAAAATATTATTTAAAATTTATTAAACAATTTATATATATATATATCTATATATGTGGCCTAGATTTGAAGTTTAAATAAAAGTTAATGAACTCAACTAACCTGCGAGAGTAATAATCCATTTATTGGTATAACTTGTGTATGTTGCCACAGCGCCACCCATTTTGCAGATGTCTGTGATGTCTCTTAGTGTTGTGCTAATAACCAAATAGTAACTAAAATATATTATTTATTTTTTTAAATATATAATAAAATGATTATTTCAGTTTTTATATTGATTGCCCACCTTTTTGGATTTTCTATTCAAAGCATTTTTGACTAATGTGAGTTTTTATTAATGTTTGTTTATATGCATTCTATATATAATATATCCAGAGTACTATAACAATTGAAACTCAGTGATGTTGATCAGGATGTAACAAACAGTATCAAATTAAAGAAAATTTTCTAAAAAAAATTTATTGCTATATTTACATTATAAATATTTCAAAAAGAGTATATAGTATAATAAAAAAAAAAAAGAAAAAAATTTTAAAAGTGCGCTAAAATAAATTTTAATTGAAAATTGAAATTTTAATCTGTACATTTCAAAGACCCTTAAAAAGAACTATAAAAATTACTAAAAATCATGCTATTATTTATTTCTTATTGTTTATTTGAAACAATATGTATATTGTTTTTTATATTAAAATTTACAAAAAAAATATAATTTTATTTTGTTATAGATATACAGTATAAGAATGTGAGTCTTTCAATTCTAAAAAAGCTATATTATAATTTTGTGCTTTTAATATATATTAAAAAATTTTTCTACATAAATAATAACTATAAAAAAGTATTTTACTACTTCTGTTTAAATTTGATTATTAAAAAAATTAATATATATATTTTTTTCAATTTCAGTTTTATATCTTTTCGTCTCATTTCAAGAAAGCAAATTGGACATAAATTTTCAATTTTGACGTCAAAGAAACTAAATAGAATTTTTTAATGCGACATTTTTGAAAATAAAAATTCAAATATTTCGTCTTAAGATATAAATGAATAAAAAATGTAGATACTCGTAATCAAAATGAAACATGTTTCTGCAACAAGAGAATATTTTTTTAAAAATTTTGTCTAAGTACTTAATTTACAAAATATATTTTAAAATTAAAAAAAAATTTGGAATGAACTAAACACATTGGTGGGCCTTACAACTAACCTTACAACCATCTAAAATTTAGAATTATTATAAATATTTTATTTAAAGAAAAGTTTTATTATCTATTACTAAAAATTGCTGCCAAAAAAGAAAATCCCACGAAGAAATTATTTAAATAATTAAATAATTGGTTCTATAGTATGAGAACCTTCACTGAATACAGAATATTTTTCAAAAGCTAGATAGACTATTAAGATAGCTTCTGGGTGGCAGCTACAGGTGCAATTTAATCATGCCCTACAAGCAAACTTAACGTTACCACTTTTACCTTTATGACGATATTTCAGGTCTGACGTACAGACAGTGTCTTATCAGTGATATCACAATGAATCATTATGTGCGCATAATTGCACTCGAATTACCTCGAATACCTTTACTACCAACTGAATATTTTATCGAACAAACAGTAACCATCAGTGCATAGAGATTTTGAGCACCTGTCATTCAATCTCACTAAGACACAGTAAAATTCTATCAACTATTCCCAGCATTAGTTGAGATAAATCAGATTGCAATTATTTCGCTTAAATTTGTCACAAATATTCTCATGCAAGAGAATAAAAAAGGAGGGTTGATTACAAGTATAAAGCAGGAAATGTCAGCGAGAGCACCACAGGAGCCAAAATTTACACTATGCACCTATAAATGTGTAAATCCTATCACTCTCACAACGTAAATATTAGAAGTGCAGTATTCGTCACCTAAGGGCCCGCTTAAACTTCCAGGAATATAAAGTTCATATTCTCACAGATAGTCAGTTAGCTATCAAAGTTCTGTCAGGTGCCTTTATATCATATAAGGCAGTTCACAGAGATAAATTAACTATTAACGTAATAGATAACAGTTCCAAGATAATTTTATTTTTGGTTTCCAATCATGGAAATAAAGCAGAAAATGAAAACTTGGATTAGCTGATGAGATTCGATACAACTATTACGTATTAATCCCTATTCTTATCAGTTACAAATGAAGATTGACCTATTTAAGAAACTCTGATTTAATGTACAGGAATAAAATTATATTTTTTTTGATAGAACACTTAACAAAAGTACCGGGAGCCATGGCGCTGAGTATATTCTATCAAAACTTTTGTAGATCATATTCGTTACTTCCGGTGTCTAGTTGGGATTAGTAACATACCATCTGTTATGTTACTGTTCAAATTTGTGCAGATATAGATATTAACAAATGTGTGTATAATTCAATAACTCACTTTGAATCAATCCATTGGGATTGATTGGGATTGTCATACGCCCAGATGATAAAAGACCCTGTTACCAAAATTGCAAACATTACTAGGAAAAAAATAAATTACAGATTTTGTGTAATCAGTTAGTCAAGATCTAATCTTGGTTAATCTTTACTGAGCAAGGTGGTCACCTTCGTAATGTTGAAAACTTGTGCATAGACAAGAGAATTTATTTAATGGATCTATTAAAACTATCACAAAATACAGGTGTATACTCTTATATATATTATATATACACACATAAGTTGTTGTTGTAGTTTCTTGAGTTAATACTTTTGCGCACTTTTACTCTTTTGTGGCTGGGGGACTGATCCCTTCCCCACACTAGCTTTAACTATGCAGGAATTCATATCGTTTATTAATCTTTTAATTGATGACGAACCGTAAGTCAGCATATCTTCCTGTTGTTCCTGAGGTGGACTTGGGATTTGTTATGGCAAAGTTGGGCAGCGTATCAATTTTTGTGAATAATTTTAGGACTCTGTCCCTGATGTCTTTTCATATATATTTATATGGTTTTGTATATATATATATTTAATGGCATTTGTATCTTTTCTCTAACATAGTTTACAAAAAAATGTTTTTTTATTACAACTGCAATTACAACATATCGTAGCGAAAAAAGTGCTTTTATACAACAATTATATGATATCTTAAAGCACTTTAACTGTGTCTAATAACTTTGAAAACTATGTATATAAACTCCTTTATAAAACGTATTTCTTGTCATTTATTTCACTGTTTAATCAACTAAAATACTAAACTCTTAAGATTTTAATGAATTTACCAGACATGTTTGGGTGTTAATTACAAATAGTATTTAATAATATTGAGACATTAATATTTTATTTATTTGAAAATGTGAGTTTAACAAAAATCTGGGAATAAGGTCTGCAGGCAATGATCAATGAGTCAGTGAAGTTTTAAAGAAATTTCTTATTTATTAAAGACAATATTTGTAGCCTTTCAGAAGATAATTTCTATTTAATCAACAATTTTCAATAAAATAACAATTCAAATGCAATTAATTAAAAATCAATATTTACTAAATGCATTAACGATTTTAATTGTTTATATAATTTTATTTATGTGTGTCGCTTAATTACATTGAACTTTGGCAAATTGTCAAAGAAAGTGTCTTACACATTTCAATAAAAAATAATGAAAAAAATGTTGGTCATGTAGACTTTTGTAATCACGTATTTTATTAAATGTAACATATAATAAGTATAAATAATATTGGTACACTACTCGTGTACTGTATGGTTTAGAACTTCTAACTTGAAATTGGTTCATAAGTGTGACGTAGTATCACAATGTTATAGTCTTTGTATTTAACTGATCATAGCGTGGAGTGGTACACAAGATTGCCACTCGAACCTAACCTAACCCATACATAATACGTAATATTGGAACAATATTGAAGCTATTGTTATAATACTTTCAAATATTTGTTAGCACAATTTATGAATTTTGTAAATTTATCTATAGCTTATTTGAGACTTATTATTGGTATGCATATAAAAATTGTAGTAAAACCCGTAAATGGGTTGCCCTACTTAGTTATAGGTCAAGCTCTGCAAATTTTTACTTGCATTTGGTCATCAAAAGTTTCGAATAGGAACTTGATCTATGAAATATAACCAATAATGATGCGTGTCTCAAAGAATATCTCGTTTATATATAACATAAATAATATAAAAGACTTTTAGATCTTTAATAAAACAGTCATTTATTTGATTTCTTACTAGTTGAGTTACAGTATATATACTGTCATAATGCAGGCACATCCAAATAGTGCAGTAATACGCAGTTATTCGATTTCATGGTTATAAAAAATTTAGAAGATTTTCTTATTTATCGACTAGCTCATTTATATTTGTATATCATTTAATTCAACATAATACTGTATGTACTTATGTAGTTTCCACAAAAATCAGAAAATACTATCAGAAAATGTTGACCAGTCTTAATTTAAGTTGAGTTAAAAAAGTAAAACCCTTAATTTCTATACATAATTTAATTTAACATCTGCTATATATACATTATTGAGTATACAATAACTAATTTTATGTAAAAATATTTTTAATTATTAAATAAAACATAAAAATCAAAAAAAAGTTGTAGTCTTGAACAGTGCTTAATCCTATACTCGGCATATATCCTGCAAGCTGATTGAAGTATTTTGTTCAAACCCCTTCTGCGAATGTTCTTTAATGGACCCAATCGACTCGAATCGTCTTTTTCAAAGGGTTTGATTCTTGGTTCAATACAGTCGTTGAGTTTGTTTTTCCCAAATGTCTTGATAAATAGTTTATGTATATTGGATAGTAGATCGCACCTAAATCATGTATGGTAATCACATATAGTATAGCGCTACGAACCAACGATAAAAACAAAAATGGGGCAATACTTTTTAAATTGACACATTTTTAAAAATTTAAATACGAATATTTTTTTAATTATAAGATTCCGATACTTTTTTTCACCGAATATATATATATTCTTAAATGACTACTGTCAACCTAAAAATTAGAATATCAAAATTTATTAAATGTCAATTAAGCTAAATCACATCAACTGGCAATAGTTTGGTAAATAAAATATTAATTGATATAGAACTGATAGTGCAACTACAATTTATAGTACCTATACTTTGAAATGAAAGACTTTTTTTCTGGGTAAAAATGTACGCTTCATCTGTGCTGCAATAAAATTTGTCACACTTTTGAGGTTAAGGATGTTCTATTTTAAGCACAGCTTATTTTTTTCTGATATGTGCATGACTACATTTTTTATTTTATTTTAAGTTTTTAAAAATAGAATGTCACATATACAAAATATTTAGATAAAATAGACAAAAAATATCATTTCAAATTAAAATTTGCTTTAAATTTTCCTAAAGTTTAATATGGACAAATTTTTTATAAATATTTTTTTTCAAAATTTAAAGAAAATATTATAGAAAAAAACAAAAACTAAATAAAAGTTTCCAAGTTTAAAGAAAAAATTATGTGTTTATACATCAAACTTTATTAACTTTATTAATTTAAGAGAAAAGGGGTTATTCTCTCCAACTTTAATAAGGACTATAGTAGGAATGATATAATTAAAAGTATTAGATTGTTAAAGAGCGAGCCTTGCTATATAATGTAATTGTGATTTTTATAATAAAATAACACAATTAATAAAAAATTTTACTTATTTCCGGAAGGGCACTGATAGCTTAATATTCCAATCCTTAATTTTACGAGAGCTTAAGTTATAAAAAAGAATGTCGAGCTTAAAAAGGTGAAGGTCCTATACTTTACATAATCACGGCAAAAATTATTCAATAATTTTCAGAAGTCGGTTACAGTATCTTAACACGATAAAATACTGTTCATATATGCTCTTATAGCGAAAATTTTCGAGGAATATATTAGTCCATAAAATTAAAAAATCGCCCAGTAGGGTGTTGTTATATAGACTCATAAGCTTTTTGTTGATAGTTTCACACATCATATGAGGCCTTAAATTGGAAAACTCCTTTGAGAAAATATTGTTATACAGACTTATATGTTTGTTGTCGATAGTTAACAAAATTCCCGAAATATTATTTCTACAATAATCTAACCCTATCACGAAACACATAAGGAAAAAAATGTAACAAACCCGACTATTATTATCCGAATTATATACTACATGTTTACATATATACATATTGTTTATATAACACTATATTCCATAAAGTGAATAGACTGTTAGCAAAGATTCTACATTATTCCATATATTTTTTAGATATTGTAGTTCGTTAAATGTTTCCCATATTCCCTATTAAACCATATTCTTGAATGTAATGCTCATAGTTACCGAGATGAATGGAATCAATCTAATCACATAAGCTACGAAAATTATGGTAAATGCTGAGGATAAAATTAAATCTAACGATTATAGATTGTTGGGACGTTATTATAAATATATAAGAAGTTGATTAATAGTTTTTAAACTGAACTAAAAGATGAAGATATAGTGGATTATAAAACAAATTTAGAAAATAATATAAATAGCTCTTTTATTAATTTTGTTAAATATTGATGGTTAAATAAACTAGGAACTAATAATATATTAATATATTCAGTCAACAAATTCGAGAAAAGTCTTTCAATCAAACAAACCTTGTACCATCCAGGATGTTGTGTCAGATATTGTGCAGCTTGGCAATCAACTATAAAAAACATATCTACTTAAATTGGTCTGTTTATTACTGATTGAGTTAGATTCCACAATAAATGGTTTAAAACAAAATTTCTTTACAATCGCTATAACCTTAGATCGTTTCCCTAGAATAATCCCAAGAAAACTGCCAAATGATCAAATAATTGATTTCAATGGCTGACTACCTGATTTAGTAGACAAAGAATTGCTAAAATCTAAAATAGAATGGGAATAAAGGCTCTCAATAGAATGTAGCCCTTTTAAATCTAATAGATCTTTTTTTTTACTGATATAATGTTGGAGTATTGTTCATAATTTTGAAGAAACCACAATTATAATAAATAATATTCTACTAAAATTAATTTAAATAATTAAATATTTATTAATATTGAAAATAAAGATTAAAAAAAATTTTGTTATTATAATTCCTTGCTATTTACTCCTGTTCTACTTAAAATATTTATGTATGACTATTAAATTATAATACTATTAATGGTCAAGAGTTTTTGCGAGTCAATAATTTAATAGTTTTATAATAGTAGTAGTAATAGTATTTTTTTCTTTTCTTATGCAATTACCTAGTACATTTTTTTAATCATTTTATGTTTTTATTGTAAATACTGTTAGCTAACACTTTGACTGTTGATTTTTTAAATTGATTTCAGTGAAACATAAAAACCAATAGAGTTATAAGTTTCCCGAAAAATGACAAGAGGTCATAAACAATAATGGCGAATATAAACTATATTAGAATTAATTTCCATTAAAGAGAATTTTTGCTCAAAAATATAAAAAAAAAAACGCGAGTATTTTTTTTAATATATAATACCCAAAAGTACTAAAAAGCTGGGATTCATAAATTGAAAAGTCGTTCGATTAAATACGTTGACGTTAAGGAAAAATTAAATACAAAAAAATATGGTTATCAATGAAGAAAATGTTGGTTTAAAAATATTCCAAAAACGTTGAACGTTTTTTAGATCACCCAATACCAAAGACTACTAGAGAATTGGTATCTATAAATTGGAGAATAGATGGGAGTTGAGAAAAAATACATTGACGTTAAAGAAAATTGTAGTAAAATTATTTTTATAACTAAAAATCGTTTTTTTAGAACTTTGAACTGCTTTAGTAAATTATAATTTTTATATATAATTTTAATAATGGCGAAACTCAACAAATGCCTTTATGCTGATACTGCCTTTCCCTACCTAGGGAGTTTGGGTATAAGAAAAATATTATTTAAATCAGCTGCACGTAACAATGACGGTAATGTTAATGACTAATGGGAATACTAGAAATTATGGTGAAAAAAATTAAATTTTCGTGTTGTAATTATTTAATCAATAAAAAAATATTATTAAATATTTCTTTTATTAAACTGGGTAAAAAGACTGTATAATATATCATACAGTCTTATATTAAATATTAAAATTTGCTTTAAGTTATAATTAATTAATTTTAATTAACTTAACTTATTTAACTAGATTAAATTAAGTTAAACTTAATTATAATTAAGTTAAACTTAATTATAATCAAGTCATTTCTTTTTTTACTTTAATAAAAATAAAGGAGTTAGAAAGTTTTCTTCTTACGTGTATATTTGTGGTGTTCTGTATGTATATAATATATGTGATATCGCTAACCTATAATTCTATTATATGGTATTGTATACAAAATCAAAATATTGACTCAAACACATTAATTACAGTGTTTGTCTTCATCCTAGAGGAGGTCAGAAAACAAATTAAGTAAATATTTTCTAAAAGCTTTAATCGCTCCTACTCTCATTACGAACTCACTCAGGGAAGTGTTTATTATATTCTCTCGTTGCATTTCATAGTTCTAAGCATGCAGAAACAGGACAAACAAATTAAAATAAATAAAAATTCAAACAAAAATAAATGTTTTTTTTTTATATCCTGTTTGCGGCAATTATGGACGAATGCTTTTTTAATCCATTTTAATTCTTGGTTGCAAACCTCGCTGGCTTCGAAAACTATAAAAAAAAACAGCGTAGAATCTTTAAAGAAAAGAAAATAGAGACCCCGAATTTTATGTTGTGCTCGCAGCAGTTGTTGATAATCCTATGCTTCTACTTGTATTGTTGTTGTTTAATGTTATTGAATTATTCCTATAAATTTTTCTTTTTTATTTTAAGCACTTTTAAAATTTTCTTTCACTTTCTTATAGGTTATATATTGATTATTAATATTTTCATTTACTTTTTACATATTGTAAAAATTTTTTATACTTTTCGAAACACGCAATGTCGCCGTCCGTCGTCTTTGACATAAATCGATAGTGCAGAAAGTGGGCCAAAGTACATATGTAGAATTGGGTACATGTATGTATGCATATATCAGCCCGCAGCGATTTTTTAATTTTTATTCAAATTTTTCATTTTTTTTGAATTGCATTGCACTTAAATTGGTTAGCTTTTCCGAAGACTTTTCCAATTTCAATTTCATTCCATTATTTTTTTTCTTTCATTTTCATTTTAGGTTTTAAAATTTAACATAATTTTCATTTTTAGAAATAATTTACTTGATATATTTCATTTCAAAACATGATAATTAATTTTAATATTCCATATATCATTTATTTTTTCACAGGATAATTAATTTTTTCACACTTTGTTGCATAAAATTTTTGCTTAAAAATCATTAATTTTCTTTTCACCAAAAATTTTCCCAATTTTTCTGTTACGTTAAGCACAACGCGAAAATGAAGACTAACGTTTTTCGCAAAACTTTCTGCCCACAAGGTGGTTGTTTCGCGTCCAGAGAGGACCCATCCGAGAGCGCTTTTCTTCTCTTCGTTCTCAATATTTTTGTTTGCGTACACCGCAAATGATAAACAAAACAGAAAAACGTGTATTTTCCATTCTCTGTTTATGAGTTTTCAATGACTTTTATCACAATCCGTTTTGACGCAATTTTCAAGGACAAAGAAACCTGACAGATTTATTTTGTTCTTTTTAAACTTGCATGTGACATTTAAAGTTAGGGGTTTTACCGGTTCTTTACATACCTGAGTTGAAATAAATTTGCATGATAGTACAATTGTTCGCAAATACCTGCTATATATAAATAATATAATAGAAAATATATTTAATTAATTTCGATTAATTTCATTAAATATTTCGAACTTCAAACTTATTCTCGAACTTATTAAAAATACCAATTATATATAAATAATATACATAAAATATTTTTTTTTTCCAAAAAATGTTTGGATTTTATTCTCCGTTCCAAACAGATTAATATGTATATGTATACTTAAGAACTCTTTGATAATTTTGGGATCATTAGAACTGGCTGAACATAATTTTTGTTATTACATGCTTAAGGTGGTCGTATTAACCGAAATCCATCCATTGAAAATTGCATTCTTTTAAGCAAATATAAACAGAGTTCGTCAAAAACTAAATGCAAATTCAATTCGAAAAGCATATCCTGACAAATATGGTAGCGACGTGAAATCTATTGATGACGAAGAGGACTTTACATACCTGAAATCCACTAAATCTAATAAAACTACCGAATGTCATCCTCTATAGTTATAATAATCAAATTTTAAAAATTCGCAAATGCAAATGGTGTTCGGAGCATATAATTTTTAACATTTGATTTGTAAATAAAAAACATACGATTTCCTTAATTTAAAACAGTATGAACATTTTCGAAATTAATCTAATTTCATTTTTACGAAATTAAGGAAATTTGGCTGTCTAAACATAGTATTAAGGCCATTTTCCTTAATATCGTTCTAATCTTAAAATCGAATTTTGTATGGAAAAAACAACTTAATTTTACTAAAACGAAGACGAAAATAAAATTTTTGTGAAATTAAGTTGTGCCTGAGCATAGTATTATATTGGCTGTGTGCGAGTTCGAGTATATTGAGGTAAAGTGAATTGAAATTTTCTAGAGATTTTTTGCATTGCACTTATGTGAATATTTATTTATTTATTTATTGCACTTATTTATTATTTTTGCCTAAAAGTTTTTAAATTTATTTATTTATTTACTATACATATTGTAAAATTTTCACCATGGTAACACCTAATTTACCTAATTTTTATCTAATTTACCGTACTTGAAATTCTGGTAAATACCGTATTCTCAATTTACCATCAATTTACTCGAACACGCACACAGCCTGTAGCTTTTTATACAAAATGTTGATGATCTGTTACATCTATACAACTATAGTGAGTTCATAACAAAATGAGCCACTGTAAAAATAATCAGCTGTTCATTTGCAAACGAAAATTGCATCAAAATAAAAAATGTAGCCAAAACATTAAATACGCGTTCAATTTGTTTACTAAAAATGACAATAATAAATTATGTAAATACTAAGTAACAAAAATGAATGAAAACAGTAGCAATATTACATTTTACGAAGCCCAACAGACAACAAATACTGCAATGCAGCAAGATAAAAACCATGACATGATGCTTGATTTGAGTTTAAGCGGACAAAAATCTGCTAACATATTTGCAGGTATATTAAATGAATAATTTTAATAACATAATTTAAATACATTAATATTTTAGCTGATCAAACACCGACACCTACACGTTTGATTAAGAACTGCGACGAAGTGGGCCTGTTTGATGACTTGCGGCATGTTAATCCCTTCGATGAAACCTTTCGACGTGCTGTTGAACAAAACGAAGTTGGAAAAATAAAACAAACTCGTAACGAAAACAATGAATCCCAGCCAGAAGAAGAATCATTACATACACCGCAAGTTTTCCCGTTATTAGAAAGCAATGGAAATGCACTATTTCAATCTTGTGAGAAGACATTAGAAAGTCCATCAACTGCCGGTGTCGCTTTAGATGTAACCGTTGTAGATCTCTTAAGCGATTGTGCCGCTTATATAAATAGACAAAATTCCTCTGGAAGTAATTGCAGTGAAGAAAAAAAACAAAATAAATATCGTAATATAGCAGAAAAACCAGAAACAAATAATTGTCTACAAATAGCACCAACATCAATACAATTAATACAACCACAACTCATAACATTAAGTTTTCCAAACGACAGTGAAAGTATAACACAGTCTAAGCAAACAATTAATGCTATACCAGTACAAACCGTAAAGCCATTCATTTTACCTAAACCAGCAACTGCCACAGTAGCCAAACATCATAATACTTCAACTGCAAACAGTGCTGTTACTACAAATCATATCACAATAAACTCACCAAGTATTAACAATGAACCAAGTAGTGCTAGCCTCACGCCAACTTCACAATTGCCCATTAAAGAACGCTTGAAAGCTATACTTAATCAAAATAATAGACGCAGTATTGAAATTCCTATAAAAACCAATAATCGCCAGAGGACTATTGCCGGCAAAGCACACTATAAATTTGATGAAGATTGTATGGAGCGGCGACGTGCTGCTGCCACACGTTATCGAGTTAAAATGCGTAATGAACATAAAGATTTAAGAAGGAAAAATATTGAATTGCAAGCCGAAAACGAGAAGTTACGAAATCGTGTAAGTCAGTTGGAACAAATATTGAGTAAACAACAAACAATAGGTGCTCAACTATCTACAGATGGTAATATGTTTTAGAATTTTGTGTTTTAATTTTTTAAAACTAATAGTTTTTGTTCACTTTTTTAGGTACCAATAAATCAGCCATTTCTCTGATTAAATCAGAATTCGAGATTCCTTCATCAACGATTAAACTCGTAATGAAAATTCCAAAGATGGTTGTCACACCAAATGGTCCACCTCTTTTTCAAAATCCTATAACGTATAGTATTGAAAAGAAATAGTAGAGATTAAACTGTGTTCTTTTATATTTCCTAAGAAAATAATTAAATTGTTATTCTATGTTTTTAATGTTAAATATAATTTCACCGTTACTGTGCCATTAAAAGGAGAGCAAAGAGCTGTTCCTGAATTCTGATCAGTGTATATATAAAATAATAGTTTTATTTATAAAAGCAAACTATATCCTTAGAAGCTATATAATTTAAGTTATTTGGAATTGTAAAAATAAACCTTATAAAATATTTTCAAACAAATTAAACAAATTAAATTAAGTCAATACTTAAAAACAGTTTAAACAATATTCTATTGGGTGAACCAATATCCAAATGGGAATAAAATGCTAAAATTCTCTCGTGCCACATAGATGCTCACCCTAATGGCATCATGTTTGGTACCACCTTTTTTCTCAGATGGACTTCTTGATTCTTCTTATCATGTCTATAACGAAATCAATTGCAATCGGGCTAACATCAGTGAAGGCAAATATAATCGTAAACTAACAGCTCTTCACACAGATATAGTATTCTCAACGAAATCGTCTAATGAAGTTCTCAATACGTCTTCGTCTAATGTTACTTGCGAAGAACGACCCCGTGTAACAAAACTGTTCAATTCAAAGGTATTTTCTATTTAAGCTAGACCAGTATATTGGGTTATTGCAAGCATAGGACAATCAAAGAAGAGTTAATGAATAATGAACAACTTAACCGAAATTCTACGGTCTAATTTATTAAGTAAGGCCACTGAACAACATCAAATTATATACTAAAAAATAGGCAAAAATGGTTTTCCAATGTATTGTGTTGTCGCATCATTGTCCTTCCCTACTTAAATTCACTATGATATGGGTTTCTCTCTATTTAAATTTTTGACAGTTTGTACGTAGTTTACTATGACCTGGGTTTCACTGTATTCAAATTTTGGACAGTTTGTACGACAAATGCAGTTGTAGCTGCAGTGGGTGCGTACAATGCAAGACTGAATTATATTTTTACGTTTTCATTACAATATGTACAATAAAATAGGTCTGTTCCACGCGCTACTCGTAGTAATAGTACGTTTACATTGGCTCTTAATGACTGATTTAGGTCAAAAAATCACAACTGAAATCATATGATTGATTTCTGCGTACAAAATCTCATATGTGAAAATGACTAATATGGCGTTTAAACCAAAGAATCTCCTTTTTTTAGCTTCAATTAAGTATTTTTTGGGAAGTAGAAGTTAAATCGTTTTCAAGGGAATGCAACATTTGTTTACTTTTTTTTGTAAATATGTCAAAAACAGCTCTCTCAAACTGTCAAAATGCCATGAGTGAAAAGTTTCATCACTTCGAACGGAACGTTTCACCACCTTAAACGGTCTTCAATTTTTTTT